AGCTTCGAGATAATCCGCATTACATAACTTCAAAAGCACGAATTTTTTTCTGAACTGAACCCAGCTTAATTCAATTGCTAAACGAATATGTTTCATGCAAGGTTATCGATTATCAATCAAAACCAATCGAAATATTGGTTTTGATTGTTATTCTTTGATCAAAATTCATCAAAAATCTATTTCAGTTCCCCACCATTTCATATATGCTTCATCAAACTAATGGAAAAATTAAATGATTGAATGTGGTAAGCAAAATTATAGCGATACTTTATGAAGGAGGTGACAGAATTTCCATGTGAGAACCGGATTCTTCTCCAACTGAATGCGGTTGACTGTATTCCAGAAGACCGACGACGATTTCTCCTTATGAGTACCGACAATAAGTACACGAACATGCTTTTGCTTTAGTGGCACTTCGTTCTTGTTCAATGCCTTATGCACTGACATTATCTGAAGATATTTTGTTGACACTTCAAGCTTTCAGCAAGTGCACACTCTTCATCAGATGACCACTCCAAACAGCTCCGAAATGACCTCCTTCATTCAGTNCATTCTTCACGTCTAGTGAGATAATGAGCTAGGATAACTTTTAATCCGCACTCTCAAAAAAGGAGGAATAATTCAACTCAAAAAAAAATCAAATCAGAAGTACTGTTTGAGCCTGGGCAAAGATTTTCATAAATCGAATTCTTTGGTAGAAATTTTTACAAGGTCATCGAAGAGAGTTTATCAGTTCATTGATAACACCTAAGGGTTTACTACTTGACACTGATACCTATCGAACGAGTTACTATTTTAGGTGCTGTTCAGAAGAACAAAAATTTCAGAAACCTGCGCCTTGATGAACGCTTCACGATCAGCGCCGGTTAGTGCAGCCCGACGCGAAGTCATTCTTCAAAGATTCTTTCGAAGACTCTAGCAATTGCACCAAACCGTACACTACCTATCTATCACCACCCCACCAAATAAGATACCTTACAAATCTGCAATGTATTCACTCACACATTTAAAGGACGATCATTATAATGAAAATAATAACGGAAACAAAAATATTATAAAGTATGACAAAGACATTAACAATACAATAATGATAATAATATCAGTGATGATTTTGTTTAAAAAGTACTTCTTTCTTATAAATTACAGACGTAAAATTTCGATAATGTCAGATGATATACGACGAATAAAAATGAAACAAAATGGAAAAATTTGTCAGCATAAAACATAAAAAATACTCAGTGTGTAAATAACTGCAAATGTGAGAGTAACTGTAAGAACGATGAGAGCGAAATCTGGGTTAATAGCTCGACCATATGCCCATAATTAGCATTTAAAATTGCAGGTATATCTAACAACATAAATCAATAACAATGATTCACATCAAATCTATATTTTTGAAGCAATGATGAATTAAAAGCTGTTGAATTTTCACAAACCAAAAATCACAATTGCAGTGAAACTTATCATACGAGCACTTTAACGAGCAACCTACTGCATGAAATTTTTCAAAAAAGGAAGAAAACAATCTGTCAATGGAATCTGTCATCGAAATGGCAATGAAAAACATTCGTAAAATTATATTTTATCATTGCACCGAGAAATGAATTCAGAATGAATACGAAGTGTAATGCAATCTTTCAACGCGCTTGGTTCAACAGTATCATTCCCTCGTGACTAATACGCATTCATACGGCTTACTTCTCTGCAGGCACCTTATCGGTAAGTCGCACAAAAAATGTCACGTTACAAGTCTGAAGTGGTCTTATGATTTGATACAAGTAATATGATAAGATATCAGTGCTAGTAAAGAGTAATATAACAATCCATCATGATGAAACTAATAATAATTATGAATATGATACAATAATGGTGGAAATATTATCAATAACAGCAACGGCTAACGATAAGATTGTTCACAAGAGCGTTTCTCTCATCACCTGATTCCAATGCCTCTTCATTAAAGGCTTCACGGTAAGGTTGTATTTCAGGTTGGTAAAATTACAACAACGTTTCGTTCGTGTGAACATTTCTTGCTGTGCTTTAAGTAACATATTCAACTGCGAGTATGAAAGAAATGCCGTTTTGACTTTACCAACCTAAAAGACAAAATTACGGGCTTCATGAATGAATTTGACAAATCTTCGAGTAGTTATTGACAAATGACTCATCAACAGAGCGGTTAACATACAGATGACTACGCTTGTTTTTGGAAAACCAGATTTTGAGATGCAGTGATGCGAAACGCGGAAACAAGAGTGCTATTCGGCGTGAAATTAAATTGTTGATGGTTTTGTCAAGGCGACATTTTAAAGGATGACATCGTTGGTAAATGTTTCTTGTTGTTACGCGTAACATGTTGATAAACGCAAAATTTGTGATTTTACCGAAGATACAAAATTCAAGTAGTTTGAGGAAAAGGAATATTTGAGAACAACAGGTGAGTAGTGAGTGAGCAAAAAGGCAATAAAACTGTTGTGAGAGCAAAGACGGCGTCGCAGAGTGCAACTTGATGTGGCAATTGGTTACTTGGCAATTTAACCGCATAGCATTTCTTCTCATCGAAATCTGTCTTCTGAAAACAGCAGTCAATGCACAATTGAAGAAGCATCGAATTTTATGTGAATGATAGCGATGAAAGCCGCCGTCTATTAGAGCTGTGCTAGAAGTAGAGGAGTAGTGGTGTTCGTGATGAAAAATTAGTAGTCGGTAGTATTTCAAAATAATGATGTGGTTACGCCTGAGTTATCCTTTATCAATGGTGCGTCTGAGGCAACGATCTTAGGAATGTTTCTCGAAGCGCGATTCATAATATCAACATGAGAATATGGCGAGTGTAGCAGTTGCATAATTCTCAATAGCAGTGTTAGTTATAAAGTCATCTAAATAAAACATAATCTAGCCAGCAATAGTAATAATACTAACGACAGCCGTCTATTTAAAAATTACACTTCTCGTCTCAGAACAACTTCGGGTGATCGATAGCTTTGAAAAAAATTATTTTGGCTAACTCAAAAAATATCACAGTAATATTATTCAGTAGCCAGAACCAAGACCGGCGGCGCGATAGATTTGTTCCGTAGTCGGAACCAGGGCTGAGCAGAGCCAA